AAATTACATCAATTAGACTAATATAATACAGATGTACAGTTTTGACATAGTGTTATTTTTATAAATTTTTCTAATAAAAAAACTTTACCAATATTTCATCTTTCTTCTTTTTAATAATTACATTTTGACAATGTATTCTTTAACTATATTTTTTAGATTTAGCAACTTTGTAAAGTTTAATAGATTTTTTAAAGAAGATCTTTTATGAACATAAGACACTATTTTAAGAAATCTTTTTACTTAATTTTTGTTGAATGATAGTAATTATTAATATATACTACATTATTATAAATTACATCATAATTATATTATAATATATTAAACCATTTTTAAACTAAATATATAATTTTTAAAATCATGTTTTAAATGAAAATTTCATTTTCACTTATACATATAGTGCCCAGAGTATAGTTGATTTATACTCTGGTTACTATTTTAAAATTGCAGAATATAAAATTTTTAGATTTTAGTCAAATCATATTAATATACATGCCAAGTTCTTGGTTTTACTTGATCAGTTCAAACAGGTATACATGTACTTATATATTGATTACATGTATATTGATATATTAATATTGCTTAAAACAAATTAGTGTTTTTGTGTAGTGGTAGGTCATATATTGTTTCTCAGGATTTAGTAATCATGTTAGAGAAAATTCATTAATATGTAGTATTAGTTATATATTATCATAGTAAATAGTGATAAATTAGGTAAACATAAAATAATATAATTAAATATAAGCAAAATGAACAGCAAAAGTTTAAAGTTTTTGTAAACTTACCAATTTATTAAGTTTATTACTTTTGTAATATGATACTATTGTAATATTATTTAAATAAAATTTAGTGGTTTTTTTATACACTTATCTGGTTCATTTTTGTAGTATTATATTTACTATATAGTTGATAAAAAAAAGTGCATAAATACAAACTTTTAATTTATTACTAATAAAAAAAAATTGAACTAATAAATATTACTATATCTTGTTCAAGTTTGTTATTTAGAGCACTTCTTGATAAATGATGTTTTTTGTCTTATTACAGTCAGATAGAAGTTTAACTTATATAAAAGATAAACTTTTTGCTTATGAGAATGTGATGTACAGTTGTCCATGACTAAAGACTGAATCTGTAAGCATTAAGCCAACATGATGAAATGTTTGATCCTATGACTTATTGATTATTATAGCAAACACAAATTTAATAGAAAACTGAGTTCTTATAAAATGAAAAAGCAGAAAATCATCAGTGGGCTGAAGCTTGATTCTTGATATTAAAACTTACTGTTCAGCAACATTTCTAGTTATAAGTTTACAATCTAAAACATGATCATACATTTATCACATGATTATTTTTGCATCATTACAAAGATCTTAACTAATATCCAAATTATGCAAAAACATTATAATGGCACCTTGCTTAAGCACTAAATAATGCAATAGCATATCATTAGAAGTAAAAAAGTATATGAACTCTTCTAGAAATTCAGTTAGATCTTTGTCTTGGTCACAAACTATTCTGTTAATACTAAAATATACTTTTTTGTAACTAGACATTTTCTGAATCACCTCATTACATACATCAAGACTCAATTTATTGGTTGAACTTAAAATTACTATAGAGAGTAAGGCTGTTTTATCTCTATTTTCTAAAGTATTACCAAAAACATCTGTTACTAAGTTATTAGTTGAAATATATTGTATTGAAACTTCTATTTCTTTATTAATTGCTAAAAGTATTTCATTTTTAAAATAAAGAAGCTATTATGAAAATTCTATTTTATCTGTATTTGTTTTCATATTTTGCTGAAGTTTTAAGACAGTAAAATATGACCAAAGCTGAGAACTTTTAATACATTTTGCAATGCTTATAGCTCTTAATTTTCTTTAAACTACAGATAGAACCTGCCAGAAATTACTGTCTAGTATTATTATTTTATCTCTAAATAGTTGTTCAGTTTGCATCAAATCTCTAAGACCAATTTTAATTACTTCTAAAACTTTACAGTAAGCTATTGAGGCCTCATCCCAGATAATAACCTCTGCTGTTTTATTAAGTTTAGCATCTTTACTATTGGCAAATATGAGTATTTATAAGTTTGAGTCTAAAGTTAATAGTAACTTAAATTAGCTATATATGATTGTTGCTTTTAGTAACAAATTAGTAGCAATTTCTGTTCAGGCTATAGTAAGTATTTCAATTCTGAGCCCATTCAGTTTATAACATAGTGTCTGATACAAAAATGTCTTTCTAGTTCCACTGAGACCATCAACAAAAAAGTACATATTATTATTATTTAGTTCATGTGTTGCAGTTATGATTTTATCAGTTATAAGTTATTGTTTATTATTTAATTGAACATACATTATTTTGCTAATTTTATGTTCCTGGTTCTTGTTGATATGTTTCTCATTAATGTGTATATTAGCAGTCATAGGTAATGATATATGAAAATCTTTTTTGAGAGATTTTTTAAATCATGCTAATTTTTTATTAATAATTTGATAAGCATAATATAGAGAGACTTTAGTACTATTATTGCAGATTAAGTTTTCATAAAGATATACTTTATATTGATCTCAAAATAATAAAGGATTACTAATATTATCTCAGATAAGTATTGTTACAAATAGCTGTCTTAGTTCTCTTAGCATTTGCCACAAAACTGCTTCATCTATACATTTACTTCATTTATCATCATTATCCAACAGTTCTCTTATTAAGGCTGCTTTATAAAAAGAAGTATATACTTAGTTTCAAATAGTTTTAAGATCACAAAAACCTTTAGCACTAGGCATATGCAAAAGCAAAAGTCTGAGACAGAATAGTTCGATGTATGATAATGAAACAGTATACATTCTACCAATAATCTTTTCTGTATGCTTTACTTTTTTTTGCCATGTTATTGTTTGCTTATAAAAAGTATAGAACAGTAGAATATCATAATATACAATTTTTTTAGCATTAACATCTTGTTTATTTAACTTGAACCATGCAGTTAACATCATATTTCAGGCTGACTAAGAATTAAATGCTTTAGCTTTATTTTTAGTACTAAAATAAACCTTTTGCTTTTTTGGCAAATGCACTAATAATTGAACAATAAAATATAATTTTTTCTGCATTTTATATTCACTTGAACTCCAAAATGCTTTAGGAGTACTAATATAGTGAGAATCAACAAAAGTTGAAATTTTGTTATAGTCAAGTACTTGTACTTGGTTTTTTTCAATAGTTTGTAGCTATAGCTTTGCACAATTGTAACTCTTAAAAATATATTATATAGGTACTTAAAGCTTTTTACTAAAAAGCAGATTTTGACATTTATATGAGCTTGATACTTTAGCAGCAAATATGGATTATGTGATACAATCCACTAATTGTCTACTTCATGTCTTTCAACAGTTATTGTTCTATCAGTATCTCTTTATCAGTACTTTGGATATCTATTGTCATTTGTAACAGTTTCTTGGTAATACTTCTTTAGATATTTCTTATTATATATGGACTTATTTTTATTCATATATGAAGCTTCATAATTTAAATAGCCACATGGCTTATAAACTATTGTCTTCACAATAATCTCATATAGCCTTGAATGATCAGCAGGATCTGGTATCTTACAGCTTACTATTCAATTGATTATATCAGAATCTTATAGCTTATGTTGTTAGAAAGAATTAATAGCATATGACAGTAAGGTAACTCATGTTTCTGAAATTCGATTACTCTTGTATATGTGATTACTTTTTTAAGAATTTCATTTTTTAACAAATCTTCTAATAGCATATTAAGCTCAAACTTGAACACTTTGTTCACAATGTCTGGTCAATCAGCAGCAGTCTGTTTAGAATATAATAACTAGATAATTTTTTTCTAGACTGAATTACATGTAATTGTCAAAAAAATATCAGGCTTACCAAATTTTCTATATATGGCTATGGCATCTTGGTAGCTTTGTTATATTGCTTTTAGACTTTCTAGAAAACTTGATGATAACACAACAGCATGCTCTAGAATAGTTTCTCTTTTCTTAGTAGCAATAGCTAGATAATCAGATAGTTCATAATAGCTTTTAACTTATAATGCTAGTTAATTCTATTATTGATAGAACAATCTTGTTGCTTTAACTTTTATATATGCATCAACTAAATATTGCTGAAACAGAGTGCCAGCATACAAAATTAGGTTAAAGCTATTTCTTTGTATTATATAATAATATTAAAATTGTAACATTGTAATATTTTGTCTTTTGTCTAATTATGTCAACTGTTTAATATATTTGGATGCCAGCCTTTGTCATCTCTTAAAAACAGCAATGAATATGACATCAGATCACAATTATCATTAATTACTAGGATGGTTTTAAGCTAATTACTGTGTAGATATACAGCAAGATAATAAAAAGAAAAATTACAATTTTCAGAGTCAATGAAGATTGCAGCAACTTTATTAACATGAGATGCATTGTAATAACGTTAATCAAGATAATAGTTATTTTCAAAGATTATTTGAACTTTTATCAGCTGCTGACCTTGCTTTATTGCAGTATTATTCTCTTTTTGTTAAACCTTTCTTATTATTTAAAATGCTTGTGCAAAAGGACTAACTTCCTAAAGTATTAAATCTAATTGTAAGAGTAATACTAAATCAAGATTTGTATTAACAGGATTCTTATTTTAGTGTGTTTGTGCATCAGCTGTTTTTATGAAATAAAGCTGTTCAAAAGTTAGAATATCATTTGTGTTTGGCTATGCTAGTCCAAGAAAATGATATATTTGTCTTGATATTTTGTATATATACAATCCAAGACCAGGAGGTAACTGAATGTTCAACACAATTAAAGCAAATACTATAGCACTATTATATTTATAAATATTCTTAAAAAAACTTTTAGATAGTGGATACTTTTGAAGAAAAAGTAATTTTAGCTTATCAGAAAATAGTAAAAAAGGTAGCAGCACTGCAGTGCCTTTATAATAGCAAGATGTGAATTGATCCTAGTCTTTAGCAGTCCATTCTTTTTGAAAATAAAGCATATCACAGCAATGATATTTAACATCTATTTTTCCAATATTTGCTTCAAGAAGAAAATCTTTAATAAAATAAAGTGCCTTGTGGCTATAACATAAAAGTGAAATTGGACAGTTTCTTTTTGCTAAACATCTTTGTTGTATATTCATCTGTTGTTCAAGTTGCTGTTCAATAGGTGTTAATGCAACTCTTTTTCTATGTTTGGTGTTGGTCTTCTGAGCTCTTATTAATTCTGCATTTGGCTTTTGTCTTTTATAGCATTGACATTGTGTTTGTGTTGCTTTTCTTTTACTTATCTTAAAATACAATATGAATTATACAAAACAGATAAGAATTATATATATTATAGTATTGTAGATAAAAAGCTTATACTAATAAATTAATTATAAAGTATTTTCTGAAAATAGAAGTTACAAAAGTTCAGAATAATCTAAGCATATAAATATATAAATAATATATATTAGTATTAAAGACTATATAGATAAGTATTATACTATTATAAAATTTTATTTATATTTAGTTGGTTCTACTTTTTTTCTTTAAGTTTTATGTTCAAATTTTACTCTATTTTTTTTTAGAAGTTTAATTAAATATTGTGTAACAGAAAATTAATATCAGCTTTTTAAATTTTTAGGTATGCTTTTTTTCTGCTATTTTCTTTTTAAAAATTTGTTTTAAATATTAAGCAACAGAAAGCTGATAGCATTATTTATTTTCAGAATATAAATATGAAACATGTGAAAAATTCATAGTTTAAATAGAATTTGAATTTTAAAATATTTATTTTGCACTATTTGTTTTGTATATAATTTAAATAATATTATTATTTCAGAAAACCAACAAATCAATCAACATCTTACTGATTATATTAGCCTTTAAAAATTTTTTTTTAAAGTATCTTCTTTGAAAATAAGCATAAACTCTCAATAATTCTTATTCTGAACTATGAGATATATTTTCACAATAAATATATATAAATGTCTACTAAATAATGCATACCTAATTATTCCTAAACACTACTACTACTATCACTTATTGTATTATAAATGTCATATATTTATGAACTATATTTATATCTAAATAAAATCTAATAAAAAAGATTAAAATGTGGTTCAGAATAATAGTTCAAAATACTTAATATAAAATGCAGTTTAAAATAATAATCTAGTTAAAATAGAATCTTATTTTATTATTAAAAGTACTTTAAAAATTACAATTATATATTATGTTTTGTATTACAAAAAAAAGTTTCATATAACACACCAATGTTAATATTAAAAGTAAAAAAAGGATCGATGATCTCTCTCTCCTGACCATTTGCGTTTAGGGTTGAGAGTAATTTTGAAGAAACAAAATTAATCTATCAAAGAGCTCTTTTCTTTTTAAAAATAGTA